AGAGAGAGAGAGAGAGAGAGAGAGAGAGAGGAGGGAGGGAAAGAGAGCGTACTAGGAAAGACCTACTTTTACAGGCCCAGATCATGAGTTCAGCTTTAGCTTGTGAGTTGGAAGCATTTTGAGGTAACTAAGTTGGGAAGCTGTGTGGGCTGTTGGACTTGTGGGACTCTGGCTGAGGAGAGACATGAGACTACAAGGTTGACGTTGGTGAGTCACGCCGGAGTGGTAGCTAGCAACCAGAGCTTGGAGCATGGAGGTGGATACACAGTGATTCAGGAAGAAAGTTTAGAACTGAGCATGAGATCTGAGGTGTCACAGCAGCAGGGCAGAGGAGAATGGGACGGCAGAGAAATATGAGGGAGCCAAGGCTCCAGTGGCAGAGGACAGCGAGCAAAGACGGTCACAGAACAGAGCATCTCAGGAAGAAGGGGGAAATTAGCAAGGCCAAACACTACCAGGAGTACAATTTTGATGGGTAACCAGAGTTGATAGCCACTCTCTTGAGAGTTACTTCCTTACCCCCTGTCCCCAAAACATACTTTCTTAGACTGACATCTTTAGGGTTAGGGCTGGGACATTGCCATCCTGACTGCATCTCTGACAGGCACAGCATTCCTTTGTCAACTGGCTTCAGACTGTGTTCAAGGGCCAACAACTGGTACTCAGAAGGGAGGCAGGCCTTGGGGATTAGAGCAGCAAGAGCAGAGACTGTAAAGTAGATGAAGGGCAGATAGCCTACATTGCAGCTGTACCTATAGGCTGAACTCACCCTGCTCTGGACCAAACATCACCTTCTCTGGGCAAAAAAAACAACAACATTCTTTTATCTGATTTTCATCTGATGCACATGTCTGAGTCTGAGCCTTATAAATCATCCATTGTGGGCCAGGCCATTGCACCAAACTTGGACATGTAAGTAAGCCAGGGCCCAGACATGCAATTCCAACAGAGCAAACCCTAGGGAGTTCCCCAGGCCTTTGAAAACAATGTGGTTATGTGGCTCTTCAGAGTGGACAGGTGGAAGGTATCACATTTAGGGAAGGACACGCTGATGGGAACAGTGCCTATAACAAAGATGACTGGGAAGGAATCCTACAATGGTGTGTCAGCCTCAAATGTTTCAAAATGGAAATTTAGTTCTCACCAAGATCTCACCATGGATTAAGCATTTACAGATCTTTTGAAACCATTTCATATGCGAGAAGAGAAAGCATTTTTCTCATCTGGCATGATATTGTGTGATGATGAGTATATTTATCTACCTATCTACTCATTGTGCCAATACTGGGGCTTGAACTCAGGGCCTTATGCTCTCATCAGCTTTTTCCATTTATGGCTGGCACTCTACCACATAAGCTACGCCTCCAATTCTGACTTTTTGCTCATTAATTGGAGATCAGGTCTTTGTAATTTGTATGTCTGAGCTGGCTCCAAATTGCAATTCTCAGGTCTCAGCCTCCCGAGTAGTGGCTAGGATTATACACATGTGCCACTGGCAATTGGTAACAATGCCTTTATTGCTCTTTGTTAAGCAGTACTTTCCTAAGATTTTCTAACTTAACTCTGGAAAATAAGGAAGTAATTCTAGGAAGGCATGGAGTGTGTGTGTGTGTGTGTGTGTGTGTACTGTCAGGTCTTTTTGCCAGTCGTGGGGCCTGAACTCTGGGCCTGGGCACTGTCCCTCAGCTCTTCAGCTCAAGGCAAGCACTCTACCACTTGAGCCACAGCGTCACTTCCGGCTTTTTCTGCTTATGTGGTGCTGAGGAATCGAACCCAGGGCCTCATGCAGGCAAAGCAAGCGCTCTACCACTGAGCCACTTTCCCAGCCCACTGTCAGGTCTTGGAGATTTTTATGGCTCTGGCAGAGCTGATCTGTGACTTTCCCCCTGGAGCTTTCTTTCCTGGTGAATCCTTTTCATGCATCTTTTTTTCATGCGCCTGTACCTTCCATCACATTGAATCTTTCATAGAGTCTGGTGGCTACAAAGACTTCCTGGAATTGAAGAGCCCAACTTTTGTGCATGCTTTAGAGAAATGAAGAATTTTCTGCATCAGTCTTCAAGAGCTGCCTGTCATGTGGTATCTTTTTCAGTGATAACTTCAAACTCATCCACAGTGACTTCTGACCCTTATTTCTAGCCAGATGGAATCCCTTAGATGATCATCCATTAATGTCTCTCTGACTTCTTGTTACTACACTTACCCACACTAATAACAGCAATAATAATAGCAAGTGTTTGGAAAGTGTTCTATGCTCTTTACATATACTGAGTTAAAATATGTAATAACCCCATGGGAAGTACTATGGGTACTTTACACATTGCAAATTATCCCCTATACTCTTAGACAAAGAAACTGGAGTTTAGCAAGGTGCACTGGTTCACCCATACTTCAGTCAGCTAAGAAGAACCTGTGATGGCAGTGTGGGCAAAGATGAGAAGGACAACTCTTTAAATAGGGTGGTGTATTTTGTTAATAATTGTTCAGAATCATCAGCACATGATAATAAAAAAGCCAGGTCCACTTGAGTTCATTTTGCTTTTCTAGTGTCATTTCCACATGCTCTGATGTTTTCTGTTTCCTCGAGTCCAACGAGCCCAAGACCTATTTCATTCATCTTGGCATCTCCCCCTACTCACACCACCCTCTCCCCCCACTATGAGTGGGGACAATCAAGATGGAGAAAGAGGGGAATGGCTACATTCCAATGTCTACATCCCAAATGAAGCGCCTCTTCCTCCAAGAAGCCCTTCCCAAGCTCCTTCCTCCTATCCTCCCCTGTGTTCAGTAGGCCGCACACTCTCATGAGGCAGGGTGGGGAGAGTTGCTTGGCTGCCTTCAGGGTCTGGCAATGGCCCCTTCACTATTAAAGCCTCTAGTTGGCCTCCAGCCAGGCCTTATCTGCCCCACTGCTCTGGCCCCCTTTCTCTTCAGAGTAGATGAAGAAGAAAGAAAAGGCAGTGGGCACACCATTCTGGGCTGAGCTGGCTGGGAAGGGCAGGAAAGGGGGTAAGGGAAGCTGGTAAGGGCAGAAGACACACTTTATCAGAACATACCCCAGAACTAGTTCAGCCAGATGAGTTCACCCAGGGGTCACAGAAAGAGGCAAAGCAGTGGCTCCAGGAAATTCAGAGTTAAGACTACTTCTCATTTTAAGCCCTACAAGCAGCGTGTTCTGGTTTCCCCCCAAGCAAACAGTATTTTTTATTCTGTAAGGGTTTCCACCAGACTATGGGTTTCAAGGCCAGGTGTTGGGGAGAGGAAAAGGTTTGCAGGGCATGGAGGAGAATTCTGGTTTGGGAGAGGCTGTCTGCAAAGGCCTTTTCCTTTCTGCCTTTTTGCCATAGGGCTGAAGCATCTACCATCTGGATCTGAAGGCTGAGGTTCTGATCATTCCAGACTCTCCTCTTTTAGGGCACCTACACAAGCCATGTGCTCAGTAAGGAACTATTTAGATGAAGGATGAATCAAGTAGGCTACCTAAGCTGATGAGTAGGGCCCTCTGCCTCTGGGCAGACAGTCCTGCTACCAGAACCTGAGTCAGCTTGAGCCAATTGATCTCTTCCAGGTCTACCACCAACCAGTTCGATGGAGTCTTTCCTTCCCATCAGGTTTTCCCCCTTCCGGGGCCCTAGGCTGATGCTAGAGATGGAATAAGAGAGTGGACCTTGGAGCTTGGGAGAACTGTGCTGGGTGGTAACCCAGGTTGATCTGGGCTCCCCACCAATATGTCCACAGGGTATGAATCTCTAAACCAAAGCTTCCCCAGCTCAGCTTCCCCAGCCTTGAGCTCCTGAGTTCTTACATTGTCTCATGTCCTCCCTACTGCCAGATCCTGGAAGCCTGCAATAGTTTCTAAATACACTAAACGAAAGGTACTTCTAACATTTCCCAGTTCCTATCTCTCAACTTCCCTCTCTGTTTTCTATCTCTCCTGGTCCAGACTTTCATGTTGATATTCACTCCCCTTCATGAGTGTCCCTATACTACTACTTTAATATTTAACACTTAATTTTGATTCAATCACAGGCCTAGAAAGGTCTGGTTTCTGTTTAGGCTGGGGCTCGGGACTCTCTTACTTTAGCTTTCAATACCCAGAATAGAGAAAGGCTGAGGTGTTTTGATCTTTTGAAAGAACTTTCTAAGCCAGGCACTGTTTAGGATAGTCGGTGAGATTCTTATTTCCATTTAACCACCAGAAAACTGGAAGTAGTACTGTGGATCAAGTGGTTGAGCGCTTGCCTTGAGCTGAAGAGCTCAGGGACAGAACCTAGGCCCAGAGTTCAAGCCCCACGACCAACAGAACAAGAAGGAGGAGGAGGAGGAAGAGGAGGAGGAGGAGGAGGAGGAGGAGGAGGAGGAGGAAGAGGAGGAGGAGGAGGAGGGGGAGGAGGAGGAGGAGGAGGAGGGGGAGGAGGAGGAGGAGGAGGAGGGGGAGGAGGAGGTTGGAGGAGGAGGAAAGAAAGAAAGAAAGAAAGAAAGAAAGAAAGAAAGAAAGAAAGCCTTCTAGTTTGTTTCTAGTTGTTGCTCTGTGCATGAAGTTGCGTGAAAGGCATGCTTCTGTTTCCCTCTATATAATACAGATGTTAACACTCTTAACAATTGTGTTTCCCCCTCTGGTTTTAAGGTAGCAGTTAACTCCTAGCTAGCAAACATACCTAGGTCCATATCCTGAATTTTCTGAAACAATTCTGATTTCAAATACTTCATTTCCCTTGTCGGAACTTGGCATAGGAAAAATACAATCCTGAAGATACTCCAAGTTCTTCATCCTGGCAATGGGCTAGTGTTCTATTTACTAATATGCAAACAAGGACCGTTGTGATCTGGGTATTGGTCTGAAAATTGCTTCCCAAACAATAGGAAGTGTAGCTATACCCAGAAGGTGTAGCAATGCTGCTGGGGAATCATTTAAAAGTTCTGGGGGGGAGTGCTTCCTTCAGTTTTTGACCTCTCTGTCTCACCCACCCCTGGGCACTGAGCAGGGGAGGGCTACTCACCTGCACAGAGTGTCCACAGCACAGGTTGCCTCATCTCAAACATGGCTTCACTCCTTCTCAGCCCCAATTCCAGCCTGGTCCTGGTAGGCACCAACAGGTCTAGGCTGACTGTATAAAGCTACAATAATCTGAGATCCCTGCAGTTCTCTTTCTCTGCTTCTTCCTGCTGACTCCCCATATGCTCCACCCCTTCTGCAGACTGGCAGGTGAGCTCACAGGCAGTTGTGTCCCTGCTGGACCTGCTCCACCATAGGTCCCAAGGGGAGTCCTTCCTACTTTCCACTTGAGACAGTCACCTCCCCTACTTTCTTCATATTTGATAGAGTACAAAGTTCTGGACTCTCCCGAAGGTGTGGACCTCCCTTGTAACTGTCAGTGAGTTATTGCCTCCTCATAAAAAGGAAAATGATCTCGGAAGCAAGATTCCAAACCAATAAAAGAAGGGTGTTGACCACATTTCTACAACACTTCAAGACCCACTATGATCTATTCTTCTACAACTCCCTCCTCTTCCACAGTCCTCACCACACAAAGACTCTTGTCATGAAGAAGAAGTCCTGCCCTCAGAGTTGTAATCTAGCCAATGAAGTAACAAATATATAAGCAAACAAAGAAGATCATAATTTGTCTCCATTTCCTGAGACTGTCTCAGTTTTCAGCCCCAAAGTCCCATGTCCAGGGTATCAACATATTGCTCATTCTGATAATAAAGTGATAAACTCTGTAGGAAACTCTCCAGGAGAGCCACTGGTACCAGTCTTTTCCACAGATACTCCATATGTGAAATAAAATATGTATACCTACTGTTATGCTATTGAACTTTTAAAACAATTTTTTCACCTAACAAAATAGTTTAAGGAGTTTTTTGTATCCACACATTATACTGTGACCTACCAACTTCTGTTTATGGGGTCATGACATTCTACTGTATGATAGTTCTTTTTCTAAGTCTAAATAGTTCATTTGCTCATATTTTTTGGAGGTTGTTGGGTTTTAGCTTGATTATTTCTTTGGGTTATTGTCTTTTATGGCACTAAAGTTGGAACTCAGAATCTCAGACTTCCTAGGCAGACACACTGCCATTTGAACCTCATCCCCAGCCCTTTTAGCTTTAGTTATTTTCAAAAAACTAAAAAGATTGGTCTAGACAATGGATCTACCTGAGTAGATGGAGGACAGGAATGTGCCACCAACCTGGTTTGCTGGTTGAAATGGGGTTTTGATAACTTCTTGCTTGGTCTGGCCTTGAATCATGAGCCTCCAGATATCTTCCCAAGTAGCTAGGATTACAGGCATGAATGAGCCACTGTGCCTAGCTGGCTTGTTGACTTCTAGCAACTCTTTGTATATTACAATAAAAAATAAAGCCCAACCTTTGGATTCAGTAAGTACCTCACATATTGTCCCCAGTATTTCTTTGCATTGTAAGCTCAAAATTTCCCACACAAATTATTTGATCAAGGCTTGGTGGCTACTAACTTGGTTTGACATACAAAAGCAATTGTGTTTTATTCTATTTTCTTAGTTGTCTTATTGACTTTCCTCATTGTATGTAATAAATTTTCAGTCTCAGCATTTTATAAGACCATTGGCCAGGTAGCCCTACACACAGTGTCAGTGACGTTATTTTTCTATTCTCCTTCTATGACTGCCTATAGAAAGAAAATGAAACCCTGTTCCTTCAATTGGACTGTAAGATATTCTAGTATTTGTTCTCCAACATAATCTACCTTCCAAAAATTATCTTCCAAAATGTGTAACTTATGCTCTGCCCAGTTTTAGACAACTCTTTTCACCCAGAACTCATTCTTTTTTCCCTCACAACTTTGTCCATGCTGTGTGTCCCCCACAATTCCTTTCCCTGTTATATCAGCTGTTATAATGTAGCTTGCTCTTAAAAAGCCAGCTCATCTATCTCCATTTCTTCCATAAAGCCTTTGCCAATTCTTCTGACAGAGAATCTCTCTCCCTTCTTTGAATTCACTGAGCACTTGGATCTCTTTTAGGACCCTAACTATATTCTGTCTTACACTTGAGTTATTTTTGGCCTGTGTCTCATTCCTCCTAATAAACTGTGAGCTCATTCATTCAGCCAGTTATAACATAATGATATGATGTGCTGGGTATTGTTCCACACAGCTAGGAAAAAAGACAACATTAAAACTATGTGTCTTACTAAATGTGGTCAAGTACAGTGTCTAGTGCCCAATAAAGTAATCAGCAAATACCTGCTGATAGGTGGACTAATGGATGGATGGATTGGTGAGAGGATAATTATGGAGTGTTCAGGAGAAAAGGAGAGAACTATTGGGTTACTAGGCTTTGTCATGATCAGAAGGATGGTAACAAGGAGTAGGGTAGAGAGATGGGACAAATCATGAGCTCATATGAAGTTTAAGAAGCTCACTGAATTTTTGCAACACCTCAGATTGACTGATGACCCTTACCGGGGCCTGTAAGTGTAGAGAGAGAGGATGTAGAGAGAAAGCACAGTTTCCCAATGTTTGCTCCACAAACAAGTTTGTCAAAAGAAATGTCATCCTGGTCCCAGCAAGGCTCTCCCTGTTACTACCTACCAAAAGGGCCCTCTTCAGTCTATACTCTTGTTATTTTTGGTGGGGTTTTTTTTTGGGGGGGGGGAATATTTCCCTCCCCCTTGGCATCTCTAAGCCTCCATGAGGCTAAGGTAAGTTTCTTTACTATTCTAGGTTTATTGATTTAGACTATTTCCTCAAAGTGATTTTAGAAGGTAATGCCAAGCACAATTTTATATAGAGAGAGCCCAGAGGAAACCATCTATAAAATGAGAACCTCTTCCCATCCCAGTGCTGATAGTCGGTGTTCAATGAACCAGACAGGAGGGAAACAGTTAAGTGAGCCTGCATTCAGGCTGGGTTCTGCATTCCTTTCTCCCACAGATCTGCCAGCCTATGGGGCCAAAGGCTAAATTTAGAGAGTGGATAAGGTTTCCTGACAGCTGTCCTGCCCCTCTGAGAAGAAGCCCTGAAGAGAGAAGAGCTTTCTGTCCCCTCTGACTGGTTGGAGTTTCTGGCCATTTTATCCAGATCCTCGGGCTTTGGTGTGAACACAGGCAGTGGTAAGTGTGTTTTGTCTTAATCTGTCCTGGTGAGCCTTGACTTACAAACAAAGGGGCAGCATCTCTGCCCTGAATGTCAGGGACCAGCCACGATGCCTGGGACCAGCTGCTGGGGACCTCAAGTTTCCAGTTGACGCCTGAGCCACAGGCCTTGATGGTCATGGCCTTCATTAGAATCACCAAAGAGGGCTAGCTACCTCCTCAAGTAGAAACGAAAGGTGTACACATTAGTGTGGTGTGTGTGTGTGTATTTGTGTGTATGCGCACCTACAGGACTCAGAAGCGCTCCCTGTGATTTCAGCAGAAAACTTTCCAAGTCTAGAGGATTGAGCTTTTTAACCTGTTCAGCTATATTTACTCAAACTTTTAGTTCCCCTCACTACTTTCTTGCTAACACCCTAGTTGTCCTTTAATACAGCGCCATTTTTTTGGTGTCCTGTTTACAAGTTAGACCAGGTTGGATTGGGTTTTCCCTGTGGATCCTTTACTTACTGGGAGGTTACAAGTGATCACCTCCTCATTCCTGGTGCCACTGCTGACATCCCGTCTTGCCCAAGAAGCCTATGGAACCCACCTCTCTAACCATCTTTCTACTGCCAAACTAACAGGGGCTGACAAGCTGTCATGGCGACCGGGAGAGACCTAGAGGAGGAGCAGGTGGTTCCAAGTGAGGAGGATGAGGCCGACGTGCGGGCAGTGCAGGCCCGCTATCTCCGGAGCCCTTCCCCCAGCCAGTAAGTGTGCAGTGCTGAGTTCCATCCAGGCCTCTGGGCATGGCCAGGGAGGGGGCTTGGAGCATGGTGAGGAGTGGGTCACAGCCACCATCTATCCATACTATCAACACCATTGTTCTTGAGGAGGCAAACGCACAGACTGGTTGCTGAATGTTGATATCTTCTGGGTATACAGTTCAATGGGTTGGGGAAGGAAACAAGTAGACTTGGAGGGGCCAAAGGAGATTTCCTAAAGATGCTGCTGCTCTCTTAAAACTAGAAGGATGGTAGGAAGTTGTCAGAGGCACCTGCAGTGTCCTTGTTTCATTGGGATGGGGTTGGATGTGGGGATGGTAGGTTAGCGAATCTAAGAGAAGAGACCAGGAAGAAAAGCAGCCCACAGGGGCCATTGTGCAGGCTCTTGTACTAAAATAATTTTCCAGCCACAATCAAACTGGGTCTGTTTCAAACTGCTGTGGCAAGGGGGGGCAAACGACAGAGTCCCCAGGGTAGGATCAACATCTTTTTGGAGCGTCTCTTTCATGTTATGACAAGCAATTTAAAACTTCTGTTAAAAGCATTTGAGGATGTATGGTGATATAGTGTGACCAATTTGCCTGGATTCTCAAGAAAAACTAAGAGCTTAGAGAAATTTAATCCTTATTGTCTGCTAAAATAACTGTGAAAAAGCAACAATGTATATGCCTGTCCCTGTTCTTCTGCCATAACTGATAACAGAGACCTGACTTCTAATCATAGTTCTGTCTCCAGAACTATGACTCCAGAAGAGTCATTGATATTCTTGAGCCTACATCTCCTCATCAATAAAAAGGGAAGGAAAGCCAACAAAAATATCTCGGGAACCCTCACTTCTGAGTACTGATGACTCTGCTTGACTCATTTCCTTCAGACAGCTGAGGTCTCCCTGGCTCCCGCTCTCAGAGTTTAAAGCTTCCTCACTGGAGCAAGTTAGAAACAAAGCCAGAGGCTAATCATTCATGGGTCAGGTACTTCACTCCATGAAGTTTGGAGAGTTTGCCTTGTAACTCATCATTACGTTTCCACTTAGAAAATCTGACAGGATTGAAAGATTTAAAGCATGTCCCTCTCCTCCTGTCCTCTCCTGGATAGGACAGCACTAGATTTGGGCATGGTGTGACAGCTCTTTGTATTACTTGGAGTCATGCTAGTTGTTATACCCAATAAACATTTGTTTCTCACCTAAGTTCTGGGAGACATATCTGATCAGAGACTCCAGACTGAGGTTCTTCTGTCCTGTGGGTTCACCAATTAAAAGCGTGGTTCTAAAGTTGTTGTGCAACTGCTGCATTGTA